TGCCCGGGTTGGTCTCGAAACCACAGGCTCAGGCAATCCACTCACCTTGGCCTCCCAAAGTGCTGGGATTACAGGCTGAGCCACCGAGCCTGGCCCAGATTTTTCAATGTGCAGAGATAACCTCTTTCTGGAGCCCCTTCTGTCCTGTGACTTCCTGTTTCACCATGATATCCATGTTGGTGCTTCTCCCTCACTGGTTCACTCCTGGGCCTGCCTGGAGCTAGTGTGCAGGAGCAGCAGCTAATTCACCCCTTCATCTTCAAGGGTCTAAGGGCGCTACAGTGACTTGGTTACAGACACAGCAGGGGCTTACACTCACTGCCCTGGAGAATGCAGAAGAGCAGACTTGACCCAGATTCCTTGCATGGACTGTGTCCCCCAAAATGTGCATATGAAGCCCTAAGACCCTATGGGATGGTATGTGAAGGTGGGGCTTTGGGAGGCCATGAAGGGGCCCCACAATGGAGTTAGTGTCCTTATGGGAAGGGGAAGAGACCAGAGCTCCCAGAGCTGCAGGGTACTCCACAGCTCTGGGGCTCACCAGCTCCCCTACTGTGAGTGGAACCCAGTCCCCTGCAGACATGAACCCGAGTCCCAGCCAGATCTCTGACCAAGGAGTGAGGACACTGGCCAGGCCACCCTGGCCTGGGAGCTGATGGCTGGCACTTCTCTCCACATATCCAGATGGAGAAACCTGGCCTGCCCAGGGCTGCCCCTGCCACAGTCATGGCCTAGGGCCCCTGCTGGATGTTTCTGCTGCTCTCACTGAGCACAGCCCTTGGACAGGCAAGGCCAGGTCAGGGCCAAGAGTGGTGGGCAGTGGGGAACCCATGGCCTGATGGCCTCCCTCTACCCTTCCCTTGTGGCACCCGGAAGCATCAATGTCCTGCAAGCTGGATACCCAGGCACTAGGAGGAGCTGTGCCAGGGCATGTGGGCAGGTAAACAGGGCTTTGGCTGCCCAGGACCGTAGTATGGGGGTGTCCACCACATCCTCAGCCTGAATGGGGAGGTGTTCCTCTCCTGTGCCAACCCAGGCGGGTCCTTCAACCAGAAAGCCGAGAGAGCATTCCTGATCTGGTGTCGGGCTGCCTGGGCACAGGGCAGGTCTCGTCCTGTGTGGGTATGCCCAGATGGAGGAAGAAAGAGCATGATCCTCTGGTAGCAGCTTTGGGAGGGCATCCACACCCCCAACTGTGGTGAAAGCCCAGGCTCTGTCCTGCCAACTCCCATCTGGGCCCTGAAAACGTCATCAGTGCCACAGGTGGCCCTGAGCAGGCCCTCTAGATGGGTTCTGGGATCAGGTGATCCTGGGGCTACGCTTTAGGGCAAAAAAAAAAAGGCATCAAGGTTCCTCGAACCATCCCCAGTGGTGGTGTGGGAGGGAGCATGTGAACGGTAGTCATGGCAACAGGAGTGTTCTGAAGCTGCATCCTGCTTCTTTCTTAGAAAAGGCAAAACGGCGAGCTGTGTTGGTGGCTGAAGGCAGGTGGGGCCTCGGGCATCAGCTCCTACGACCAACAGGCGGACACACAGGTCCCTGGGCCCAGCTGAGGGCTTCACCTACAGAGGCCTAACTATGAGAAACAGCCATGGGCAAGGAAAGGAGCAGCCCTTGTGGCACAGGAAGGTAGAGGGTTAGCCAGGCCACTCCCCTCCCACCCC